ATATTATTGAGTTATTAAGTTATGTTTCCTCTTTATAACACCAGAAATGTAATTGAGAAACCCTGGCATGTATTAGATGTCATATGTAAACACATAATTGTGTGCAATGTTGCTCATGGATGTGTCCATCCATCTTCATGATAAGATTGGGCCCCACAGAGCAGATACAATTGGCACACAGGATGGCGGAGCTACTCCAAAAATATTTTGTTGGGCAGAGACAATGTGGGGGGGGCATGTTTGTGTGAGAAAGAAAATTGTACACTCTCCTGAATGTGGAACTTATGAATGAGGCTCTTGACAGGATAAATGATTTTCAAAAGAATTTTACTATTTTTTATTAGGTACTGAATTTTATTGCATTTTTAGATGGAGCATGTTTATGGCCTGAATCACATGAACATGAGTAATATCAAAACCCAACAGGAGTTGTAAATTTAGAACTGTAATAGGTGTAATAATTCCACCAGGAATTAAATACAGAATAATAGCATATGCTTATCTTTGCATGCAATGGTGTTATTACTATCATTATTAGAATCTGGCCTCTGCATTGTTGCCTTGAAGGTTTCTGCAGCTGGAAGTCTGTTGAAGAATACCTGATGCCTAATTCTGTTTTAACTGGGGAGAACATCATTGGTTTTACTTATGATTTCATCCTTAAGGAACAGAGATGTTTGCTTTCTTTCAAGTTCCCCAAGCACCATTTGAATACAACGACCACATTTAGGAACAAAATCCACTGTGCAACATCCTTCACAGAAATGGCTCCTACACACCAGGTTGGAGAATTAAAACAAACTGACTGTTCAATGATAAATTCCTGAAACTGGAGAAAGGGTCAGAGCACATAAAAACATGGGCATAACCTTAACTACAGAGATATGAATGGTTTTCCACAGCTACAATTATTTTATAACCTGCAGGAGGATTTATCAGGCTAAACAGACCATATGGTGAGATGAATCCTTAAATAGAAAAAAAAAAAAAAAACAGAAAGGAATTTTTAAAGTGCTCAAGTGGAGATAAAGTCATCTATAAATTTCCATAGAGAATATGCAAGAGTGAAATGAAAAACAAAAAGTAAAATCGCTTCATGGGATGGTAAGTAAACACACACGCACACACACAACACATACACAGGGAGGCACACACAATTCAGGACGTGGCTGATGATAAAAGTTGACATTGAAAAATTATGAGGATTTAGCCTTGCAGTTAAAATGCTGGATAAGAGCATCCTCATCCCGTATCAGCATACCGAGGTGTGAATCTTGACTCTGTCTCCTGACGCCAACTTCTTGTTAATGCACATCCTGGGAGGTAGGAAGTGATGGCCCAAGTGCTTGCGTTCCTGTTGTGTTGCTGCCACCCATGTTGGAGATCTGGATGTAGTTCTCAGGTGCAAGCTTAGGCCAGGCTCATCCCTGGTTGTTGCAGGCATATGGGTAGTAAACCTGAGGATGGAATTCTCTTTCTATCTATATCATCTATATCTATCTATATCTATATCTATATCTCCATCTCTATATCTATCTACATCTATAACTATAGCTGTGTCTATGTCTACATCTATATCTATCAATCTATCTCTCTTTATATATATATTTTCCTCTCTCTCACCTCTCTCTCTTTTTGTCTGTCTTCTCCCCAATACATACACATGTGCATACATATATATTTTTAAATGTGCTTGATAAAAAATAAGAATTCTAAGATAATTTATAATGTAGTTTTGTCTAATTTGCTTAGTGTTTTGGTAATGATATAACATCTTTAAAGAAGAAACTTCCTGCTTGATTGACAGAAGCGTGGAGAGGCAAGAAAAATTGGTTGTTACGGTGAAGCAATGTTCATTGCCGAAGCGTATGCCACTATGGGATGGTTTTAGAGTTAAAAGAAAAACAAACGTACAATTGGTGTGAAGATGTCAGTGAGGCAAGATATAAAAGGAGATAAATATTCTAAGTCTCTTGATTTTCTTTTGACTTTACTCAGAAAGGAACTTAGACTATGAAGAGCACAGCTAACTAGTTCATGGTGTTGCCCTTATTCCTCAAATAAACAACTTTGCCTCACCATGGAAGGGACAGGTGTTTGCCAATCTTTTGTTCATTAGGAAATAAAAGACCAGTGAGCCTCAACCGCATGAGAAATAGGGGACTGAGCTGAATATGGCATCTGCTCTCCTCTAATGTAATTTCTTCAGCTTAATTGCTTTCTGACAGCACTCCCTGGATTCTTCAGGAGCCTTCTGTCCAGTACTTAGCTGCAAAGATTCCCCCAGACCTCTTGATTGGTGTCAAAACCACAGCATTTAAATTATAAGGCCATGTACTACAATTTATATTTAAGCATTTATGATTTTTACATGTGACTTGTCTGTCTTCAATATTTTAATCATCATAGACAAATGGTGGATGACTCAATGTCATGATTTTACTTGAGGTTTCATTAAATATAAAAGTCACACCACGTAAGAAAACCAAACAATTCTCTTCCATCTTGGTTTTGGAGCTAAACTTTTGCTGTAGTACAGAGGCTGTTCTCATTGGAGATTTGGGAAATTCACTGAAATCAGAGAAAAATCTGATCATTTAGATCCAAATCATGTGCTCATGTAATTAAATTTAATGAAGAAATATGTAGGGGTTTTATTTCTAATTTTTTCCTGTAAAAATACAGGATCAGAAAACAACACTTTTACGGACACAGAATGATTTAGACGAAAACAATCTTCCATGTTTAGAATTGTCTGGACTCTGTTCAGAATTTAAATCACTATAAGCAATAAATTCATGGTGGAGTTTTTTCTTAGCCCCCTTTTTTACTGTCCTACATTTTATTTCTGAGTCATCTGAGTTATATGCTAGATCATAGCCTTCCACTTCAGAACAACAGGAAACAAAAGACGTGTGTTTCAAATTTACCGTGATTTCAGGAACACTTGTACTCAATTATATTGGTTCACTGACATCCTGTTATCTGATAGTTTGATTTTAGGAGTGAAATATCTACTCTGCAGTGTATAATGAGATTTGTGGTAACTCATTTAGTCTCTTTTTAGCATTATCACATTTTATGGTTAAATGTCGATCCAGTCACTAAACTATTAAGAGCAATAGTTTTAAGGCTAAATAGGATTCTATTGTATACATAGAAACCACAATTTTGAAATTCATTCCTCTGTTCATGAACACTATCTGTTTTCCATGTGCTGGCTCTTGTAAATAATATAAGAAACACAACAGTACAGATACTGTAGCCGGATTCCTGAACAGAGAAGAAACACCAAGTCCAGGATGCAGTCCCTATTATGTTGGCATAAGTCCCAGGTGGATGCATACCCAAAAACACTGAGCCCCAAAGAGGGAGTATTTTCTTATATATATTTTTATCTTGTCTCCCTTATATGGCTACACCCATATATGTGATTGTATATGCTAATGTGACATGGTGGATATAGCAATTGACACAATACTGCCCATGCCATTGCTGATAATGATTCTTTCACATACATACTGAGCTCTACCCTGTCTGGCAAGACTAATACCTTTGTTCTGTACTATCAAGCAGAAGCCAAAATGGTTACATAAAAGCAGGTAATAAGCAGGTTAAAGCATTCATAGGCAAAGCCAATAAAGACCACATTCCATTACTAGGGAAATGTTTTTTTTTTTTTTCCTCCTTTTTCTGACTTTGGGAAGTTTCCTACCACAATACTTTTAAGGGTGGTAATTTCTTGTTAAAACTAGAAGGGATTATGCTATGGGAAATAAGCAAGATACACAAAGAATACTATTGCAGTCTCCACACAAATGTAAAATCTCTAAAGAAAAACAAAAAAAAGCAAAAGAAAAAACTTCAGCACATGTGAGAACACAGCAGAATAGTGGTTATCAGGGGGACAGGGTGATGGGAATAGGGAGATGTAAGACAAAGGGTAGAAGCGTGAAATTATGTAAGATGAATAATTTCTAGAGAGCTAATGTGCAGAATGAGGTCTACATATAATAATATTGTGTTATACACAGGAAACAGATTTTAAGTGTTTCTACTAAACACATAAAAGGCAACTCTGTGAGATGATGGACATGTTAATTTGCTTGACTATATGCATACATGTATCAAGACATGTTGTACATTTTAAATATAAGTATTAATAGTTAGCTTCATTTTATGTACTATCAAAATTATTGTTAAAATGTCAATAAATGTTTGTAAAATAGTTTAAAACGTGATAATTGCACAATTTTAAAACCAAGAACGCATATGCACAAGTATGTACTCATAATTATAAATCTTGCAGGCACTAAAATGGAAGAATCTGTGACTTCTTAAGTATTCAAATCTCTTACACAGATGATGATTTAAGTGTTTATTTATTTTTTGTAATCAGGATGCACCCAGCCATTGCCCTTTCTTCAATGTCTGTACCTCTAAACTGATAGTTTGTTGATTGGATAGTAGGAACAGACATGGTTATGACATTATTGTGCTGTTATTTTTTTGAAATTCCTAATACTTTATGATGATGTGATTTAACCATAGGTATAGAGATTAAGACCAATAAAATAATAAACAACTGAGTTGAGATACTAGCTCTTTTATTTCCTGCTAGGTGTATGTTCTTAGACATCTTTTCTTCCCCTGTTATTGTTGGGGTAGGAGTTTGAGTGTCCCATAAAGGCCCATGTATTGGGTCATTGGTCCACCATCAGTGATGTCAATGCTCAGTGTATCAATGCTAATGGTTAGTGATTTAACAAGGACAGTTGATAGAATTATGATGTTTGGAAGATGACCCTACCGAAAGGTCTTTGGGTAATTGGGAGGTTGTCCCCAGAACGTGGTTCTCACAAGAGGGTTGAATTTATAAGCCAACTTTGCCCTAGACTTCCTAACTGCTTGTGGGCTTGCCATGTGATCATTGCTCCAATAACACTCTGCCACTGCCAACCTCCAGCTTCGTAAGATACCAGAACAATGGGGAAGCATAATCCTGGACTGTGAACCTCCAAAGGCGTAAACTGAAACGAATTCCTGTCTACCTAAGAACCTCCTTTAAGGTACTTGTTATTCTGTAATGAAAAGCTGATGAATGCATTAGTTAATCTTCACTCTCCCCTTATCTTAAAATGAGGTAACATCCACTGCTTAGGGACAACACACATAAACCACTGGCAGAGATTGCTATAGGAAGTACCAACTACAGATCAGAAATGAGGCTGATAATTTAGACTAGAAAAGGATAACTGAGCGACTTTTACCTTCATTTTTATTTGGTTGTTAGTTTTCTTTGCTGGCTCAAGGAGAAAATAGTTTTGTTTGGAGAACGTTTACACCTTCATTTCCCAGCGTTGGAGCTAAGACATCATAAGCTTACTAAGCAATCTGATCTTCTGTTTTCTCATCTGTAGACATTTGGTATTATCTCCACCTAGTTCAAGGCACTATGTGGAGAACAATATAATTTGCTGTAAGTGAAATTGCAGTATTAAATGTAAATTATAGAGATTTTAAATTATTTCTTTTATTTCAAATCTTTTGTCAGATTTTGGAATTCTCATTAACATAATATAAAATCATCTGAAAAGTTGCTATCATGCGAAATTTTCATTTCCTGACCAATAAGTGTGTTTAGAAGATAATAGTATAATTAATATATCTGCACATTTTAAACAAACAAACTGGGGCACTCATTTAGCCTAGTGCTTAATACAACACTTAAGATGCCTGCAATCCCTATCCAAGTACCTGGTTTCAATTCCAGACATGAGCTCCTTAATCCCACTTTCTGCTTATGTAGACCCTCGGAACAGTGAGGCTCAAATGCCTGGGTGGCTGCCACCCATGCAAGAGACATGGAATGCATTCCCAGTTGTTGAACCCATGTTGTTATGGGATCTGGGGAGTGAACCCATGAATAGGAACAATCTCTCTCTCTCTCTCTCTCCCCCACAAACTCTATGTTTCTGTCTCTTTCATCTTTACATATCAAAGTAAGTAATTCTAATCAATAAGAATATCATAAATAACTTTATGTTGATGGCTAAAATGTCAGAATTTAAGACTGTGTAAATTAGAAAACAGCCTCAAATTATAGTGGAAAGAAACACCAAAAAAGTACTAGGATGGAGAGATGAAGAAGGATGCAAGTTTCATATGAGACTGAAGTATAATTAATGGTTAATTGGAAGCCAGTAATTATCTCCAACACAGTTATTTTTCCTTGTGGAGCGTAGGTGATTTATGAATATTATTGTGTTTAACCTAAAACAGTCACAATGATTAAACTAACTCAAGGTCCAAAAATGCTTAGAAAAATGGAGAAGTAACAAATGGATGTGAGGTCCCAACTGTTCTCTGAGTGACATGCATTAAAAGCTCTCAGAAAGAATTTCTGTATCATTTACAAATTCCATCAGGTAGACAGTCATTTGAAGCAGCAGGTAAGATATTGCTTGAGACCCCTCAGCTTATTTTAGAGTGCCTAATTTTGGGTCCTAGCTCTGTTTACAATTCCAGTTTCCTGCTATTGCATACCTTGGGATGTATCAGATGTAGGCTCAAGGACTTGGATTCTTGCCACCCACAAAGGGTACCTGAAATGAATTCCAGGCTCCTGACCTTGGTTTGGCCCATCCCCAGCTATTGCAGGCATTTGGGGGAGTGAACCAGTCAATGGAAGGATATATTTCTCTCCACACCCCCCATCCTCTTCCTCTTCCACTTCCTCCTCTTACTTACTCCTACTACTTGGTCTTCAAATAAATAAAAATAAATTGATAAACATTGAAGATACATTTTAAAGAATTTCATCAAATAAATAACAAGCTAAAATCAAGGCAGGATTTAAGGAACATTATCTGAATCATTTATTTGCTTTTTTTTTTTTCTCTCTCTTTAGGATTCAGCCCTAGAATCTTGGTAACTTGAAATGAACTGTACCTATTTTGAAACGACCGGTAAAAAATATTGGCCAACTGTATTTCATAACAAATTATTTTAGAACACTGTTCACAATGTAATGTGATTATTTCAGATTCTTTATGTTCCTTATCTAGTTCAAGAATAGATATGCTTTACCATAAAGGTTGGCCATTGGTATAGTTGAGAACATTATTTGAATCTCCAATTATAACTTTATATACAAGGAGAGAAAATATTGTTATTAACCTGTGATGTTTTTGAAAAACATTCTTATTTTTAAAAACTTTTTATAAAACGTCATCTGGTGTATCTTCCTTTCAAAGACATTGTTTGCTCACTTCTTTACCAGATTGTTTTGTTGTTGAGTCACTTGAGCTTTTCATATATTCTGGATACTAATCCTCTGTTATATGCATATTTGCAATTTTTTTCAATCTGAAAGTTGGCTGTTCACTTTGTTAACCATTTCCTGTGCTGTGTAGAAACTTTAGCTTACTATAATCTCATTTGTCTACTATGTTTTTGTTGCCTGTGCTTTCGGGGCCTTACCCAAAAAGTCTTTGTGATCATGATTAATTGTGCTTCACTGTTGGACATCAGTGGTAGCACCAAGAATGACGTGGTTCCCAGATAGCGATAATGTTCAGAAAACGGATGAGTGCCAACTACCCAGGATGTTTGAAGAGCTGCATCAGCAAGAAACTTTTGAAAGTGAAGGTAAATCACAGCCACAGAACTGAAGCACAGACTCCAGGGGTTTCCCTCACACAGGGTTTACTAAAGTAGAGAAAGAGACACAGATTCCCTACTGAGTTCTTCTTTGACACAGACACTTAATGTTCTTAGTCTGTTCTGCCATTGAACTGCCATATGCATTGATGACTAATTTTCTAGCATGGTATCCGAACAGAGGAAAGAAAATATCAAGACAAACAAATATGAAGAAATTGGAAGACAAAGGTGTCAGGAAAGTCATTCAGACAAGTGATAAAGGAATCAGGATTTGAGAGATGAAATCAAATCCCTAGGGGAAAGAAAGATCTCACTACAGAGAAGTAAACATGAAAGACAGAATAAACAGGATGATACAAAAACATCCAAAGTTATTTGTCACTAAATATTTTCTTTAGTGATACCTCTGGGGAATATAGATTTGAGAAATACTATTTGATAAATGCTGAGATAGATGCACTTTTAAATGAAGTGAGGGAAATAGATACAAGTATTTCTATAACATTCATTTTAACTTGGTTGTGGAAACATTGGGCCATGCAAAGGGGAAAATAAATAAAATGAAATAATAAACACTGACAGGGTTGCAATATAAGTATAATTATATGCAGAAAATTGAATTTCTAATTTGTAAGGTCAACAGATTTTGTCATATTTTCTTTTATATTGCATTGGTATTATATCTTTAAGCACATGAAGCTTCATAACAATGTTGAATTTAAATCAAAATAGAATACATGGTTATGAAAGGCAACTTTACTTTTCATAAATGTGCTAAATACTAAGCTGCTGCTAAAATACAAAATAATTACAGAAAAGGTTCACTATTTACTGTCAAAATTATCAGATTAATTGGATATTAAGAACATTAATTACTATATCTAGATTCTGTTCTTATTCTTTTAACTCCTTAACAAAGTCACCACATATCAAACATTTTTAATTTTAGTGAAATTTAATCAATTAATTTTTTCTGTATAGATGGTGCTTTAGTGTTAAAGATAAGAAATTTTCACTTAATCCTAAATATTTCCTTTCAAAAGGTTTGTTTTAAGTTTTAAGACAAGGCACAGTGATTAACACACTAATTGGGACTCCATAGCCCATATCGCAGTGCCTAGGTTCAAGCCTCAGCTCAGCTTAGGATTCCAGGTTCCTGCTAACGTGCACTCTGTGGAGCAGCAGGTGGTGACTCAAGAGACTGGGTCCTGACCCTGGAAGGAGACCTGGATTGGTTCCCAGGTCCTGGGGTAGCAGGCCCACAGCTGGCTGCTGCAAGCATTTAAGGAATGAACCAAGAGATGAGAGCTCTGTGTGTGCTTCTCTGACTGCCTGCCTCTGTCGCTCTGCCTTCCAAATAAATAAAACTAAGTAAGACTAAATTTAAAGTGAAGTCTGTATCACACTTGCAAAACGTTAGTTAGTTTAAAATATGTTAGTGAAACTGTACTGGCCTTTGTATGGGCTTCTTTTATGTTTTAAAATCTATGCTGCCGCACCTCTGCTCATGTCTAGTCATATAGTTAAGTCTTAAAATCGGGTAGTGTGAATATTTTCACTTTATTTCTATTCTGTAAAATTGTTTTAGCTGTTCCCTAGTCCCTTTGCTTTTCTATATAAACTTTAGAATAAGCTTGTCTAAATATACAAAAGTTTTGTGCAGAATTTATTAGAAATGCAGGAGAATTCCTTAATTTGGGGGACATCTCTGCTTTGTTCAGCTTTCAAATGTATGAATGCAGTACGTCTTTCTAGTTATTGAGATCTTCATTAATTTCCTTCAGTAGTATTTTGCAATTTTCTGAATATTAACCTTCTACGTATTATGTTAGATTTATATCAATATTTCATTGAGTGATTGTAAGTAGCACTGTGTTTTGTTTTTTGTTTCTTGTTTTTGACAGGCAGAGTGGACAGTGAGAGAGAGAGAAAGGTCTTCCTTTGCCATTGGTTCACCCTCCAATGGCCGCCGCGGCTGGCGTGCTGCGGCCGGCGCACCGCGCTGATCCCATGGCAGGAGCCAGGTGCTTCTCCTGGTCTCCCATGGGGTGTAGGGCCCAAGGACTTGGGCCATCCTCCACTGCACTCCCGGGCCACAGCAGAGAGCTGGCCTGGAAGAGGGGCAACTGGGACAGAGTCTGGCGCCCCGACCGGGACCAGAACCTGGTGTGCCGGTGCCGCAAGGCAGAGGATTAGCCTAGTGAGCCATGGTGCCGGCCTGCATTGTGTTTTTAAATTTAGTTCCCACGTGCTACTGCATAGAAATGCAATACTCCATATAGTTGAATGTCAATTTTAAAAGTTTTTTTTTTAAATATTTTTTTTATTTGAAAGGCAGAGCTATAGAGAGACAGAGGCAGAGGGAAAGTGACAGAGAGAGATCTTCCATCTGCTATTTCACTCTCCAAATGCCTGCAACAGACAGAACTGGGCTGATCGGATGCCAGGAGCCAGGAGCTTCTTCTGGGTCTCCCACTTGGATGCAGGGTTCTTAGGACTTGGGTCATCTTCTACTGCTTTCCCAGGCCACAGCTGAGAACTACATTGGAAGTGGAATAGGCATGACTCAAGCCCATGCCCATATGAGATGCCAGCACTGCAGGCAGCACCTTTATCCATTAAGCCACGGTGCCGGCCCCTAGAAATAACTGAGAGATTCTCTTATGTGTTCAATCTCTTACATATGTTTAATGCTGGAAATATTTGGTTATAATTATTAAACGTTTTTCATATTTTCTATTTTAATATATCCCTTACTCTTTTTTAAATTTTGTCATCTTTTTGACAT